ATGCGTTTTTTACTTAACGTATCTTATTTTTTAAAGATTTTATTCAGTTATTTGAGATAAAGAGAGAGCTCAGGCACTAGTGGGGGGAGGGGCAGAGGGAGAGGGAGAAGCAGGCTTCCCGTGGAGCAGGGAGCCTGATGCAGGGCTCGATCCCAGGACCCTGGGACCATATGACCTGAGCAGAAGGCAGACGCTTAACTGGCTAAGCCACCCTGGTGCCCCCTCAATAACGCATCTTGATGCTGTTTCCAGATAAGCACAGGCCCCTGCCGTACTCTTTCTGCTCTTAGACCAGTGCTTAGAGATCTTAGCACGTGAAGCTCAGCGTCCTATGTGGTGTTTCAATGTGGCCTGCCACCAAAAGGGAGTGCAGCAAGCACAAGCCACTCCAGTCTATCCCAGGTGCCTGGTTGGAAAAGGACAATCCAGTTCCCTTGGTTCACTTGGGTTCCTTCAGAAACCTCCTGGGACACTGACGTACAGCCAATGGGTCTCAGCAACAGCTCGGGAAAGAGCTGCTTGCAGCTGAGGAAGGCGACACTGCTCTCTGTCCACGTGTGAGAGGAAGGGTTCCTGTGGCAAAGCAGGAGTCCTGTCCTTGCACTCAGATCCGCCTGCTGTCACCCGCTCTGCTGCCAGGCATGTACGGAAGGCTCACGGCAGGAACGGAAGATGTGTAGACGGCGGAGCAGACACGGGCGCCGGAGAGACACGCGTGGCGCGGCGGGTTCGACTGCCAGGTCATTCTGCAGGTATTGGAAGCTCCCTGCTCAGGAAGACCAAGGAGCAGGGCATTCAGAGCTGCCGGCCTCGGGGTGCACAAGAACACAGTCCCGTGGCTGAGTCGGGGTTAAAAAAATGACCACAGGGCCCACGGCTCAGAAATATGAACAATAAAGCCATCTTACATCTTTGCACTTAGCTGCCTCAAATCCTTTTTGAAACGTTGGAGGGGTTAAACTCTATTTTGAAATCTTTCGACAGAGCATTTTTCCAAATACCTGTTCTATTTGTTCTCTCATTTGACCCCCACACCAACTCAGCAAGTAAGCCGGTGCCACTTCCTGCACCTACAGGATGGCATGTGTGCAGGGCCACGACTCACCCAAGGTCAGTGGGCCAAGTGTTCTGACTCCGAGCACCGGGCTCCTTCCTGGATTCTCCCTGGCCCCCCCAAGTCCGGGGCCAGCTCGCCAATTTCAGAACCCTCAGCAAAAAGAGCCAGAAAAGAAGCCAGAGATAGAAATATGAAATATGCCCTCCTCGGGAATACCCAAGATCATGAAAACTACCTTTTCCTAACAAAAATTTAATGAACTGGGTCTCTTGCACAGGAGCACCAGGCGCCAGGCTCGGAGCGGAACTCCACGGATCACTTTAAGAAAATGGCAGACAAACTGGACATGGGGGAAATCGCCAGCTTCGATAAGGCCAAAGCTGAAGAAAACGGAGACGCAGGAGAAGAACACCCTGCTGACCAAAGAGACGATTGAGCAGGAGAAGCAGAGCGAAATTTCCTAAGAACCTAGAGGATTCCCCACCCCCGTCATCTTCAACACACCCCAGTCGTGATGTGGAGGAAGAGCCAGCTGCAAGATGGACACGAGCGACAAGCTGCACTGTGAACCCGGGCACTCCGTGCCGACGCCACCGGCCTGCGGGTCTCTGACGGGACCCCCCCCCCAATCGGACTGCCAAATTCTCCAGTTTGCCCTGGGATATTATAGCAACTTATCTGTATGTTTAATGAAAATAAAACACACCTCGTGGCAAAAAATAAAAAAATTTAATGAACTGAATAATACTGATGTTGCTAAGTACCAGGTTGTGATACCAAACTCACACCATAACAGAACAATAGTCTTTACTAGTTTTACAAAGACTTTTGTGAAAGGGGAACCCAGCTGGCTCATTCAGTGGAGCCTGCGACGCTTGATCGTGGGGTTGTGAGTTTGAGTCCCATGGTGAGTGTACAGATCATTTAAAAATAAAAAAAAATCTTTAAAAAAAAGACATTTGTGGAGCAACTGGGTGGCTCAGTTGATTAAGCATCTGCCTTTGGCTCAGATCATGACCTCAGGGTCCTGGGATTGAGCCCTGGGTCGGGCTCCCTGCTCAGCAAAAAGTCTGCTTCTCCCTCTCCTCCCTTACCCCCTACCTCGTATGCTCTCTCTCAAATAAAGACTTTTGTGAAAATGTAGTTTTATATTTTATTATTAACACACACTACCTCAGCTTTTTTTTAATCCAGTAGCTCTTTAATTTTTCCAGTTAGGCACTAACTTGGACAGTACTAGTAATTTGCATTTCAGTATCTAACACCCATGTCTTGTCTTTTTGTCACTCACGTCCTACATGACTATTTTTTAAACTTTTTTAAGACCGTCCAAAAGGAGAAATATATTTTACTTTGTGAAGCACAGATACATATCTGTCACTGAAACAAAACTTTAACAAAATCATAATTATCCTTCCTATGTGTGTTTTACTTGGATATTTCCTATGCTTTTATACCTCTGGGGAATAGAGGTCTAGAAAGGTTCCTCTCTGCTGACTTAGTAAATTAGCAAAAATTAGGAACAGCTTTTAGGATTGAATACACGGAGGGCCAGGAGGCTGGAAGTCAGGAGCCAAATCTTGAAAGATGAACTGGAATCAGAAGGGTAGAGACTAAAAAGATGAAGTGAGCCCAGCACATCTGGGGGACAGTCATGAGGGGTTCATATAGGGAGTGGTAAGGAATAAAATCAAAAAGAAGGCCTGAGGTCAATCTGCAGAGAGCAAGACAGACTCTGGATTTCACCCTGGAGGTAATAATGCTGTGACTGACAGTCTATGAGTGTGCAGAGTGCTATTCCAGAATTGTTCATCTGCACACGGACTTGAAACCGGCTCTAAAAACACCCAGAGCTCAGGCACCAGGTTCTCCAGCTCTATTTCAGCACAGAGAAAAAGTGCACACGGACCTCATAAATTCAGAATTCAAACAAGAGCAGTCTGGGTCACCTAAAAAAAGAGAAAAGCTGGGATAAACATATTAAGTTTAGACAGCAACTGAGCCGTTTGTTTCTTTTCATCCTTTTACTTCTGTTAATGAAGTGTGGGCCTTATCTGCAGTGACCACTAAATCATTATTTCCTTTACGAAAGCTATACACTTTATTGAGAAGCTCGTCCTCAATACCGTTATGAGTCTAACCAATAAATAACTTTGCAAAAAATAAATTTTGTATCAGCAATAACACTTTTAATAATAAGGTCGTAAAGCTCACAGACACACAGGGACCTCTAAAGGTGTCCAGCACCCAGTAATTCAGGCTCTGCTGGACACAATGACAGTGCCCTCTGATCCGCACCTAGCACTCCGTCTGTCTCAGGAGAAGAAAAACATCCAGCAGAGTCACCTTGCAATTACACCGGCACCTGGAAGCATATTTGAGAGATGAGAACTACAAAGCTGGGTCTCTGTAAGCGCCTGCACTGGACTTCCTCCCCCTTCTTCCAGTCTGAGGATCAATAGAGCTCAGGATTCTTTCACTAATTTCTCATAAGCATCATTTTTTTTTATCATTTTTTGAATTTAAAAGGGACTGTCTCCCAAGGCCTCCCTGACGTTACCTTGAGTTACTAACACTGGAAATTTCAGAGATAGAAGGCGCATCAGTTGAATCTACGTTTTTTCCACGCGGAAACTACTTCTGAGGAAGACTTTCTTTTCATTTCTGAGAAAATGTTTGTACACGCGCGTACACACCGTCTGGGGTAACGCAGGCCCTTCACCGACGGTCAGGGTTCATTCAGCCGTCTTTGTTGCTGCATTTCTGCGTGCACACAAACGGGCACGTCACAGTGACACGGAACCCTCACGTCTCACCTGAAAATGTCAGGCCTGGATCTCAAGCCGAGTCCCAACCCTGCTCGGGATGCACGTCCGGCGGAGGCGGCTGGCAGGGACAGGGGCTGCCCCCGGGCAGGGCCTCGGGGTCCCGCACATCCCGCTCTCCCGCGGCAGCCCACCTCCCCTGGGGGGCGCGGGCTCCCTTCCGCGCATCGCCCCAGACCCCGGGGGGCGGCCCGGGCGCGTCGGCGGGGCGCCGCTCGGAAATTTGGGTTTCTCCACACTAAGACGCGGAGGCTGGTCACGCCGGTTTCGGTCCGGGTGACCGCTGCGTGAGCCGCCGGGGCCGCCCGCCCTGTGCCTCCACGTCCGGGTCTCGACGCCCCGCCGCCCCCGGCCCCCTCGACCGCGAGCCCGGCCCGCGCCGACTCCGACGCCCCCCGACCCTCTGACCCCCCGGCCGCGACGCCCTCGACCCCGACCTGGCCCGCGTCGACACCGACCCCCATTCCCCGGCCCCGACGCCCCGAACCCCGCCCCCCCGACCCCCGCCGCGACCCCGGCCCGCGCCAACCTGCGCCGGGCCTGGGGCCGCCGCACTTACTCCTGCCAAGGCGGCCGTCGGGAAGGCCGGGGTCCGGGGGACCCGGGTCGGGGGGACCGGGGCCGGGGTCGCGGCCGCCCGCCGCCCGCCCCAAGACCCGGCCGCCCGGCGCACGTGCCGGCTGACAGGCCCCCCATAGGTTCCATACCTGCCACCGGAAGTGAGTGAGGAGGGCAGTATAGGCATTTCCTGTGACGCGAGCGCCTGGACTCCATTAGGCAGCAGCTGGGGGAAGAATCAACACACCAGGGAGCGGAGCGCAGCCACCGAGCGCCGAGGCGGCCGCTGCCTCCGCCGCCGCCCGCCGCCGCCGCCGCCAGCGCCGGGGCTTAGCCCCGCGGCGGGCCCCGCGCCCCCGC